TGGCCCAAGCCTGTAATCCTAGCACTCAGGAGGCTGAGGCAGGCAGATTAGCTGAAGTCAGGAGTTCAAGACCAGTCTGACCAACATGGCAAAACCCTGTCTCTACTAAAACCCTGTCTCCACTAAAAATACAAAAATTAGCCAGGCACTAGTGGCATGTGCCTATAATCCCAGCTACTCTGGAGGCTGAGGCAGGAGAATTGCTTGAACTTGGAAGGCAGAGGTTGCAATGTGCAGAGATTACACCACTGCACCGCAGCATGGGTGACAGAGCAAGACTCCGTCTCAAAAAAGAAAAAAAAAAAATTGAAACGGGGTTTCACCATGTTGGGCAGGCCAGTCGTGAACTCCTGACCTCACATGATCCACCTGCCTCAGCCTCCCAAAATGCCGGGATTTCAGGCATGAGCTACCGCCCCTGGCCACTACTTATGCCTTTGTCTAACTCAGGGAATCTGCATTTATCCATTAGAGGAACAAGTCAAATACGCATTTCTCTCAGGTGAGCAGAGGGATGACTTAGAGTTCAGTAAAGTTCTTGGTGCTCACAAGGAATTTCCTAGCAGGCAAATTGGGTGGGAGGTATGTAGCTTTTTTATTTTTTATTTTTTGAGAGAGTCTAACTCTGTGGAAAAGGCTGGAGTGCAGTGGCATGATCTCGGCTCACTGCAACCTCCTCCTCCCAGGTTCAAGTGATTCTCCTGCTTCAGCCTCTCGAGTACTTAGGATTACAGGTGTGCACCACCACGCCCGGTTAATTTTTTGTATTTTCAGTAGAGACGAGTGTATCACCAGGTTGGCCAGCCTGGTCTCGAACTCCTGACTTCAGGTTATCGGCCCACCTCAGCCTCCCAAAGTGCTGGGATTACAGGCTTGAGCCACTGCACTTGGCCTCTCTCCCTGTATCTTCATGTGCCTGCAAACGCAAGAGGGAGTTCCTGGCCTCTTGGTTAGGGTCAGGGTCCCAGAAACGCAGGGTCAAGGCTATGATTCCATTCCTAGGATGTGCATTCTTGCAAGAGGCTGAATACAACAGGCATGGAAGAGGCTCCGCTGTGGCCTGCTTGAATTCCTGCTGTGGATAGCAAGAGGAGGTGCTTCTTGAAGAAACGGGGGGATCCCACCAGTCTCAGGGGTTCTGTCCTGGCCTGCAGCCCTGGATCATCCAGTCTGTGCTGGGGTGAGGAACCAACCTTGCCCTTCTTGGCTGGGGCTGAGGGTGAGGGTCCTGCTTCCCCAAAGGCCTAGCCTGGGGTTTCAGCCGCAGGCCTCACTGGGCAGCACCAGGCCCATCCCTCCCCTCCAGGCCTGGCACTCGCCCACAGCAAAGATGGCACAGATCGTCTCAGGTACCTGATGCCACCCATCTGCCAGGCTCCACCCGCACTGCTGTTAGCCCTGCAGATGGTGACCAAGCGGTGGAGCGGAAAATGTGACCTGGTGGACGGGGTGTCCTGCACAGCATTCGGGCTGCTGTTGTGTGGCTGCTTGCTGGCACTGCAAAGCAGGATGCTGTACCCCCAGGAGAGCCCGTCGTGGGAGTCCGAGGAGCTGGGTGGCCTCTGGAGCTTCTGCACAGATTTCGAAGCTGACACCAGGGCTTTAAGGAGCAATGGTACCTGTGGCCACTGCAGGAGGTGAGGACTCGGGTCAGGGCCAGGAGGCGCCTGGAATCCAGCTGGTGGGAGAGGGGAGCGCTGGCTCCCTGCCGGCTCCTTCCCTTGGGTGCCCGGAGCTGGGGGCCCAAAGGAGTTAAAGGTCAATGGGCTTGGGGGCACAGGACTGGGGGAAGGGCAACCCAGGGAAACCGGGAGGGCCGAGGCAGAGGAGGTGGGAAGAGGAAGAAGCACTCCTGCCAAGCCACCTCCTGAGGTGAAGGGTGAGCCCGGGCAGTGTCCTTTTTAATGTTTAGTTTTAATTTTTAAAAATTTCTTGAGACTGGGTTTGGCCCTGTCACCCATGTTGGAGCGCAGTGGTGCAATCCTAACTTCTGAGCTCAAGTGATTCTCCCACCCCAGCCTTGCAAGTTAGCTGGGGCCACCACGCCTGGCTAATTGGAAAATAATACTTGGACAGGTTAGGTAGCTAACTCCTGTAATCTCAGCACTTTGGGAGGCACAGGCAGGCGAATCACCTGAGGGCTGGAGTTTGAGACCAGTCTGGCCAACATGGTGAAACACTGCCTCTCCTAAAAATATAAAAATTAGCCGTGTGTGGGTGGTTCATGCTTGTAATCCCAGCTACTTGGGAGGCTGAGGCAGGAGAATTGGTTGAACCCAGGAGGCGGATGTTGCAATGAGCCAAGATCATGCCACTGCACTCCAACCTGGGTGAAAGAGTGAGACTCCATTTCAAAAAAAAAAAATAAATAAACCAAAAATGATTGTGCCCTAAACCCGACCACGTTCCGAAAAAACCTGTTTTTTTTTTTTTTAAAGATATAGGGTCTTACTACGTTGGCCAGGCTAGTCTTGAACTCCTGGCCTCAAGCCATCCTCCCACGATGACCTCCCAAAGTGCTAATTACAGGCGTGAGCCACTCAGACACTCACCTGGCCAGAGCGGCGTGTGCTGCACTGAGCCAGGTCCGGGGATCAGGAGGAGGGGAGAGTTTAGTCGTTCTGAGGTCAGCTCTGCCGAGACAGGAAGGTCCTTTGGTTTTGAAGGTTCAGATAGAGGACAGGACATGACATCAGGCCAAGGACACCACCCCTGTTCCGCTTCTGACTTGGCTGCGGTCAGCAGAGAAATGGGACCAGGTGAGGTCTGGGCTGCATTTGTCTCTTCTACATCCTCTTTTTCTGACTTTGTGGCATTCAGTACAGGAGGAAGAGAGGAGAGAACTGGGTGCTAGTGTGCGCCCCACTCAGTGTCCTAAGGAAAGCCCCCTCAAACCCCCCAACCAGCCTTCCTCTGTGTGACAGGCAGTGGGTCAACTGTCTCAGGGATAATGGGTTCCATCCACTCCTGAGGAGGAACTCCTGGCCCCACTGACCCAGGTGCACAAACTGCCCTGGCAGTTGACCTGTCGTCAGCAAGTTGTCTGTACGTTCTGCCAAGAGTTCCTATGGTATGTCAGGACTTGTGCTAGGCCTGGGAGGCCCAGCTGTGCAACACACTTGCCCCAGATTTTTTGGGGACCTAGGAGCTGAGCCCTGCCCCTCTCTCCACAGTCAGGCCCCACCCTGGATGTGCCAGTTCCCTCCAGCTTCGATGACATTGGCTAGGACTGGCGCCTGCAACATTTTGTTAGCTGGGTGTTGTATGAATGGGAGGTGATCCTGCCAGAGCAATGGATCGAGGACCTGCGCACAAGAGTAGTGCTGAGTATTGGCAGTGCCCACTTCTATGCCATCGTGGTCAGTGCAGCCAGGAGAAGGCAGGGTGGTTGGGTGGGCATGGCTACCATCCAGCATGGGACCCCAGCAGCCACCCACAGCCTGTCTTCTGGGGTGGGATGGTGGGGATCCCTGCCCTGACCTGGGGGCTGTGCCCTGTGTAGGGGGATAGGTAGCCTGATCTACTCCTTTGGGATACCATTCTTCCCCTCTGCCTGGCAGGACCCTGAGCCCCATGCAGCAGGTTATGTGAGGGTGTGCCTGATAGCAGGGCCCCTCCTCATGCCCTGACTTGCCACCCCTTCCCTGTATCTCCTGTGTCTGCAGTGGGTGAATGGTGTCAACATGCTAGAGCATGAGGGGCTGACATCAGCATCTTGGTCCAGGTGGGACCCCTGCCCTCCTGCCTCTGCATCACTAATCACCATCAATAATATGCTCACCCCCAAGAAGGGGGGTCCCTGCCACTGGAGACCATCTGCTACATAACCAACACCTCCATGTGGGTACCATCCTGTCTCTACAGCTCGCACCCACCTTCCCCTCCAACCTCACTGCAGCCAGGAGGAAGAGGAAGGGCTTGGCCTGGAGAGGTCGCCATGAGGGATACCAAGAATGGACCTCCACAGGCCGATGGGAGGCCAGAGCTGGGCCTGTAGAGGCCAACTTCAGGACGATGTGGGGGCCTACAGAGGCCACTGGGAGGCCCAAGCTGGGCCTAGAGGAGCCGCCTGGGGGATGTTTGGGGGCCTGGAGACTCCATCGGAGGGCAGGAACTGAGCCTCCTGGAGAGGCCACCTTGAGGCCTGAGCTGGGCCTGGAGAGCTTGGCTTGAGGAAGTTTTGGGCCTACAAATGCCACCAGGAGTTGGGCGGGAACTGAGTCCAAAGAGGTTGCTGTGAGGCAGGAGTTGGGCCTGTACAGCCAGCTGAGAGGAAGAGCTGGGCCTGGAGAGGACGCCGGGAAGCTGCAGCCGGGTCTGGAGATTCCAACTTGAGGAGCTCCTCGGCCTGAGGAGGACGCCAAAAGGGGACAAACTGGGCCCAGAAAGGCCATTGTGAGGAGTGAGCTGGGTCTGAGGAGGCCATCAGGAAGCAGGAGAGGGGCCTGTCAAAGCTGCTGGAAGGCTGGAGCTTTAGACTGGGGAGGCTGCAGTGAGGCTGCGGCCTGGGTGTGGGAAAGTTTGCTGTGAGGCAGAGGCTGGGCCTGTATACGGGCTGTCAGGAGGCAGGAGACTGGGCCCGGAGAGGCCGACTGGAGGTCAAGTTCTGGGCCTGAAGCGGGAGCCAAAAGTCAACAACGGGGGATGGAAAAGCCACTGAGAGGCAGGAGGAGGGCTGGGCCTAAAGAGGCCATCTGGAGGCAGGAGGAGCTGGGTCTGGAGAGGCTGATGGGAGGACGTTGTGCACCTGGAGAGACGGCCAAGAGGAGAGAGCTGGGCCTGGGGAGACCGAGTTGAGGATGACTTGGGCCTGAAGAGGCTGCTGGGAGGCAGGAACTGGCCCCAGAGAGGCTGACTTTAGGGCAACGTGGGCCTGCAGAGGCCACTGGGAGGAAGACCTGGGCCCGGAGAGGCCGATTGGAGGACGTACAGGGCCAGGAGAGGATACAAACTAGGAAACACTAGGCCTGGAAAGGACACCATCGAGGCATGATCTTGGCCTACGGAGGCCACTTGGAGGCAGTAGCTGGGCCTTCAGATGCCACAGAAGGGCAGGAGCGTGGCCCTATAGGGCCACTGTGAGGTAAGAGGCAGACCCGGAGAGGGCCCACTGCGAGGTAGAGGCTGGACCTGGAGAGGCTGCCCACAGGCAGGGGCTTGGCCTGGAGAGGCCAAGAGAGGCATGAGCTAGGCCCCAACAGACTGGCATGAGGGAGGACGTAGGCCTAGAGAGGCCAGTGTGAGGCAGGAGCTCACACACCTGGGCAGGCCGCAAGAGGCATCAATTCGGCCAAAACAGGCCATGGTGCAGGAGGAGCTGGGCTTGTCAAGGATGCCAGGAGGCAGGCAGGCAGGAACCTGGCCCCAGGAAGCCGCCGTGAGGTGAGAGCTGGGACTGGAGAGGCCCCTGGGAGGCAAGCGCGGGGCCTGCAGAAGCTGTTCTCCAGGCAGAGCTGGGTCTGTGCAGGCCACCGTGAGGCAGAAGGTGGGCCTACAGAGCTCTGGCTGGAGAAAGGTTTGGGTCTACAAAGGCTGGCGGGAGCTCGGCAGGAGCTGAGGCCACAGAAGTTTCTTGTTGCGATGCAGGCATCGGGCCTGTCGTCACAGGCAGGAGGAAGGGGAAGGGCTGGGCCTGGAGAGGCCGCCACGAGGGAGACAGAGGCTGGGCCTCTACAGGCAGCCGGGAGGCAGGAGCTGGCCCTGGAGGGGCCCACTTGAGGCCCTGAGTTGTACCTGGAGAGGCCGCCGGGAGGCCGGAGCTGGGCCTTGAGAGGCCGACTTCAGAACAATGTGGAGGCATGCAGTGGCCGCCAGCAGGCCCAAGCTGGGCCAAGAGGAGTCGCCTGGTGGAAGTTTAGGGACCTGGAGACTCTGTTGGAGAGCAGGAGCTGAACCACCTGGAGAGGCCACTGTGAGGCCTGAGCTGGTCCTGGAGAACTTGGCTTGAGGAAGGTTTGGGCCTACAAATGCTGCCAAGAGGTGGGCGGGGGCTGAGTCCAAAGAGGTTGCTGTGAGGCAGGAGTTAGGCCTGTAGACACAGCCGGGAGGAAGAGCTGGGCCTGGAGAGGATGCCGGGATGCTGCAGCCGGATCTGGAGAGGCCGACTTGAGGAACTTCTGGGCCTGGAATGGCCGAGAAAAGGGGACAAACTGGGCCTGGTAAGGCCGTTGTGAGGGGTGAGCCCGGACTGAGAAGGCCATCAGGAGGCAGGAGCGGGGCCTGTCGAAGCTGCCAGAAGGCAGGAACTTCGGACTGGGGAGGCTGCAGTGAGATGACGGCCTGTGTGTGGGAGAGTCCACTGTGAGGCAGAGGCTGACCCAGTATACAGGCCTTTGGGATGCAGGAGGCTGGTCCTGGAGAGGCCGACTGGAGCTCAAATTCTTGGCCTGAAGAGGCTGCCAAAAGTCAAAAGCAGGATCTGGAAAGGCCTCTGTGAGGCACGAGCTGGGCTGGGCCTAAAGAGGCCATCAGGAGGCAGGAGGAGCTGGACCTGGAGAGGCTGACGGGAGGAATTTGTGCACCTGGAGAGGCCCCCCAAGAGGCGAGAGCTGGGCCGGGGCAGGCCGACTTGTGGACAACTTGGGCCTGCAGAGGCCGCCGGGTGGAAGAGCCGGGTCTGGAGAGGCCGACTGAAGGAAGTGAAGTTCCTGGAGAGGTTGCAAAGCAGCAAACGCTAGGCCTGGAAAGGCCGCTGTCGAGGCATGAGCTTGGCCTAAGTAGGCCACTGGGAGGCAAGAGCTGGCCCAGCAGAGGCCGCCGAATGGCAGGAGCTTGGGCCGAGGTTGCCACGGCGAGGCAAGTTTTGGGACCAGGGAGGGCCCACGGTCAGGTAAAGGCTGGGCCTGGACAGGCCGCTCACAGGCAGGGACTGGGCCTGGAGAGGCCATGAGAGGCATGAGCTGGGCCTTAACGGGCCAGCATGAGGGAGGACCTTGGCCTAGGGAGGCCAGTGTGATGCAGGAGCTCACACTTCTGGGTGGGCCGCGAGAGGCGTGAGTTGGGCTGAAACAGGCCATGGTGTGGGAGGAGCTGGGCCTGTCGAGGCTGCTGGGAGGCAGGCAGGCAGGAACCTGGCCCCAGGAAGCTGCCATGAGGTGAGAGCCAGGCCTGGAGAGCCCCCTGGGAGGCAAGCGCTGGGCCCTCATAGGCTGTTCTCCAGCTGGAACTGGGCCTCTGCAGGCCACCGGGAGTCAGAAGGTGGGCCTACAGAGCTCTGGCTGGAGAAAGGTTTGGGCCTACAAAGGTTAGTGGGAGTTGGGCAGGATCTGAGCCCACAGAGGTTGCTTGTTGCGATGTCGGAATCGGGCCTGTCCATACAGCCAGGAGTAAGGGGAAGCGCTGGGCCTGGAGAGGCCACCACGAGGGAGGGAGGCAGATGCTGGGCCTCCACAGGGCGACAGGAGGCAGGAGCTGGTCCTGGAGGGGCCCACTTGAGGCACTGTGTTGCGCCTAGAGAGGCCACCAGGAGCCCAGAGCTGGGCCTGGAGAGGCCGACTTCAGGATGATGTGGGGACCTGTAGATACCACCGGGAGGCCCAAGCTGAGACGAGAGGAGCCGCCTGGAGGAAATCTGGGGGCCTGGAGACTCTGTCGGAGGGCAGGAGCTGAGTCTCATGGAGACGCCACTCTGAGGCCTGAGCTGGGCCTGGAGAGCATGGCTTGAGGAAGTTATGGGCCTACAAAGGCCGCCAGGAGCTGGGTGGGAGCTGAGTCCAAAGAGGTTGCTGTGAGGCAGGAGTTGGGCCTGTATAAGCAGCCGGGATGAAGTGCTGGGCCTGCAGTGGTCGCCAGGAGGCTGCAGCCAGGTCTGGAGAGGCCAACTTGAGGAGCTTCTGTGCCTGGAGAGGCCACCAAAAGGGGACAAACTGGGCCTGGAGAGGCCATTGTGAGGGGTGAGCTGGGCCTGAGGAGTCCATGGGGAAGCAAGAGTGGGGCCTGTCGAAGCTGTGGTAAGGCAGGAGCTTCGGACTGGGGAGGCCACAGTGAGGCTGCGGCCTGGGCGTGGGAGAGTCCGCTGTGAGGCAGAGGCTGGGCCTGTATACGGGTCTTTGGGGGGCAGGAGGCTGGGCCTGGAGAGGCCGACTGGAGGTCAAGTTCTGGACCTGGAGAGACCGCCAAAAGTCAATAGCAGGGCCTGGGAGGAAGGCAGCCAGAGGAACGAGCTGAGCTGGGCCTAGAGGCCATCAGGAGGCAGGAGGAGCTGGGCCTGGAGAGGCTGATGGGAGGAAGTTGTGCACCTGGAGAGGCTGCCAAGAGTTGAAAGCTGGGCCAGGGGAGGCCGGCTTGACGATGACTTGGGCCTGCAGAAGCTGCCAGGAGGCAGGAGCTGGCCCCAGAGAGGCCGACTTGAGGGCAACTTGGGCCTGCAGAGGCCGCTGGGAGGAAGAACTGGGCCCGGAGAGGCTGTCTAGAGGAAGTGCAGGGCCTGGAGAGGATGCAAAGCAGGAAATGCTAGGCCTGGAAAGGCCACCATCGAGGCATGAGCTTGCCCTACGGATGCCACTGGGAGGCAGGAGCTGGGCCTGCAGAGCCCGCCGAAGGGCAGAAGCTTGGCCCGAGGGGGCCACAGCGAGGCTATAGGCGGGCCTGGAGATGGCCCACTGCGTGGTAGAGGCTGGGTCTGGAGATGCCGCCCACAGGCAGCTGCTGGGCCTGGAGAGCCACAAGAGGCATGAGCTGGTCCCCAATGGGCCGGCGTGAGGGAGGACCTTGGTCCAGACAGGCCAGTGTGAGGCAGGATCTCACACCTCTGGGTGGGCCGGGAGAGGCATGAGTTGGGCAGAATATGGCCATGGTGTGGGAGGAGCTGGGCCTATTGAGGCTGCCTTGAGGCAGGCAGGCAGGAACCTGGCCCCGGGAGGCCACTGTGGGGCAAGAGCCAGGCCTGGAGAGGCCCCTGGGGGGCAATCGTGGAGCCCTCAGAGGCTGTTCTCCAGCCGGACCTGGGTCTGTGCAGGCCACCGGGTAGCAGGTTAGCCTACAAAGCTCTGGCTGGAGAAATGTTTGGGCCTACGAAGCCTAGCAGGAGCTGGACAGAAGCTGAACCCACAGAGGTTGCTTGTTGTGAGGTGGGAGTTGTGCCTGTTGATGCAACCAACAGGAAGGGGAAGGGCTGGGCCTAGAGAGGCCGCCATGAGGGAGGCCAAGAATGGGCCTCTACAGGCCAACGGGAGGCATTGGCTGGCCCTGGAGGGGCCCACTTGGGGCCCCGTGACACACCTGGAGAGGCAGCCAGGAGTCCGGAGCTGGGACTGGAGAGGCCGACTTCAGGACGATGTGGGGGCCTTCAGAGTCCGCCAGGAGGCCCCAGCTGGGCCTAGAGGAGTCACCTGGAGGAAGTTTGGGGGCCTTGAAACTCCGGCGGAGGGCAGGAGCTGAGCCTCCTGGAGATGCCACTGTGAGGCCTGAGCTGGGCCTGGAGAGCTTGGCTAGAGGAAGTTTTGGGCCTACAAAGGCTGCCAGGAGCTGGGCGGGAACTGAGTCCAAAGATTGCTCTGAGGCAGAAGTTGGGCCTGTAGAGTCAGCCGGGAGGAAGTGCTGGACCTGGAGAGGACACTGGGAGCCTGTAGCCGGGTCTGAAGCGGCCGACTTGAGGAGCTTCCAGGCCTGGAGAGGCTGCCAAAGGAGACAAACTGGGCCTGTAAGGCTCTTGTGATGGTTGAGCTGGGCTTGAGGAGGCCATCGGGAGAAGGAGCGGGGCCTGTCGAAGATGCCAGAAGGCAGGAGCTTCGGACTGGGGTGGCCACAGTGAGGCTATGGCCTGGGTGTAGGAGAGTCCACTGTGAGGCAGAGGCTGGGCCTGTATACAGGCCATGGGGATGCAGGAGGCTGGACCCGTAGAGGCAGACTGGAGGTCAAATTCTGGGCCTGGGGAGGCCACCAAAAGTCATAAGCGGGGCCTGGGAAGGCTGTCGAGAGGCACAAGCCAGGCTGGGCCTAAAGAGGCCATCGGGAGGCAGGAAGAGCTGGGCCTGGAGAGGCTGACGGGAGGAAGTTGTGCACATGGAGAGGCCACTGAGAGGTGAGAGCTGGGCCGGGATGGCCGTCTTGAGGGTGACTTGGGGCTGCACAGGCCACCAGGCGGAAGAGCTGGACCTGGAGAGGCTGACTGGAGGAAGTGCAGGGCCTGGAGAGTATGGAAGGCAGGAAAGGCTAGGCATGGAAAGGCCGCCGTCGAGGCATGAACATGGCCTACGGAGGCCACTGGGAGGAGGAGCTGTGTCTGCAGAGGCCGCGGAAGGGCTGGAGTTTGTCCCAAAGAGGGCCCACTGCGAAGTAGAGGCTGGGCCTGGAGAGGCCGCTCACAGCGGCTGGGCCTGGAGAGGCCACGAGAGGCATGAGCTGGGCCCCATTGGGCTGGTGTGAGGGAGGATCTCAGCCTACAGAGGCCAGTGTGAGGCAGGAGCTCACACCTCTGGGCAGGCCACAAGAGGCATGAGTTGGGCTGAAACAGGCCACGGTGTGGGAGGAGCTGGGCATGTCGGGGCTGCTGGGAGGCACGCAGGCAGGAACCTGAACCCGGGAAAACCGCTGTGAGCAGCCGGAGCTGGGTCGGTGCAGGGCACCCAGAGGCAGAAGGTGGGCCTACAGAGTGCTGGCTGGAGAAGGGTTTGAGCCTACAAAGGCTGGAGGGAGCTGGGCAGGAGCTGAGCCCACAGAGATTGCTTGTTGTGAGGCAGCAGTCGGGCCTGTCCATGCAGCCATGAGGAAGGGGAAGGGCTGGGCCTGGAGAGGCTGCCATGAGGGAGGCTGAGAATGGGCCTCTATAGGCCTGTGGGAGGCAGGAGCTGACCCTGGAGGGGCCCACTTGAGGTCCCATGTTGTGCCTGGAGAGGCCACCAAGAGGCCGGAGCTGGGTCTGGAGAGGCCTTCAGGACGATGTGGGGGCCTGCAGAGGGCGCTTGGCCCAAGGGGCCACAACGAGTCAAGAGGCGGGCCCGGAGAGGGCCCACTGCGAGGTAGAGGCTGGCCCTGGAGAGGCTGCCCACAGGCAGGGGCTGGGCCTGGTGAGGCCATGAGAGGCATGAGATGGGCCCCAATGGGCTGGCATGATGGAGGACCTCGGCCCAGAGGGGCGAGTGTGAGGCAGGAGCTCACACTTCTGGGTGGGCCATGAGAGGCATGAGTTGGGCCAAAACAGGCCATGGTGTGGGAGGAGCTAGGCCTGTCGAGGCTGCCGGTAGGCAGACAGGCAGGAATGTGGCCCTGGCAAGTCACCGGGAGGCGAGAGCCGGGCCTGGAGAGGCCCCAGGGAGGCAAGCGCAGGGCCCTCAGAGGCTGTTCTCCAGCAGGCGCTGGGTCTGTGCAGTTCACTGGGAGGCAGAAGGCGGGCCTACAGAACTTTGGCTGGAGAAAAGATTGGGCCTACAATGGCTGGCATGAGCTGGGAAGGATCTGAGCCCACAGACGTTGCTTTTTGTGAGGCAGGAGTCGGGTCTGTTGATGCAGCCAGGAGGATGGAGAAGGGCTGGGAATTGAGAGGCTGCCACGAGGGAGGCAGAGGCTGGGCCTCTATAGGCTGACGGGAGGCAGGAACTGGCCCTGGAGTGGCCCAATTGAGTCCCTGTGTTGCGCCTGGCCAGGCTGCTGGGAGGCTGGAGCTGGGCCTGGAGAGGCCGACTTCAGGACGATGCAGGGGCCTGCAGAGGCCAACGGGAGGCCCCTGCTGGGCCTAGAGGAGCCATCTAGAGGAAGTTTGGGGTCCTAGTGACTCCATTGGAGGGCATGAGCTGAGCCTCCTGGAGAGGCCACTGTGAGGCCTAAGCTGGGCCTGGAGAGCTTGTCTTGAGGAAGTTTTTGGCCTACAAATGTGGCCAGGAGCTGGGTGGGAGCTGAGTCCACAGAGGTTTCTGTGAGGCAGGAGTTGGGCTTGTAGACGCAGCTGGGAGGAAGAGCTGGGCCTGGAGAGGACGCCAGGAAGCTGCAGCCGGGTCTGGAGAGGCCAACTTGAGGAGGTTTTGGGCCTGGAGACGCCTATGAAAGTAGACATACTGAGCCCGGAAAGGATGTAGTGTGTGGTGAACTGGACCTGAGGAGGCCGTTGGGAATCAGGAGAGTGGCCTGTCGAAGCTGCCGGAAGCCTGGAGCTTTGGACTGGGGAGGACGCAGTGAGGCTGTGACCTGGGTATGGAAGAGTCTGCTGAGAGGCAGAGGCTTGGCCTGTATACGAGCCTTCGGGAGGCAGGAGGCTGGGCCCAGAGAGGTTGACTGGAGGACAAGTTCTGCGCCTGAAGTGGGCGCCAAAAGTCAACAGTGGGGGATGGGAAAGCTGCTGAGAGGCACAAGGAGGGCTGGGCCTAAAGAGGCCATCAGGAGGCCGGAGGAGCTGGGCCTGGAGAGGCTAATGGGAGGATGTTGCGCACGTCGAGAGGCGGCCGAGAGGGGAGAGAGGGGCCGGGGAAGCCGAGTTGAGGAAGACTTGGGTCTGCAGAGGCCTCTGGGAGGCAGGAGCTCTCCCCGGAGAGGCCGACTTGAGGGCAAATTTGGCCTGCAGAGGCGGCCGGGAGGAAGAGCCTGTCGGTGCAGCCTGGAGGAAGAGGAAGGGCTGGGCCTGGAGAGGCCGCCATGAGGGAGGCAGGTGCTGGCCCTGGAGGGGCCCTCTTGACGCCCTGTGTTGCGCCTGGTGAGGTCACAGGGAGGCCGGAGCTGGGTCTGTAGAGGCCAACTTCAGGACGATCTGGGGGCCTGCAGAGGCCACTGGAAGGCCCAAGCTGGGCCTAGAGGAGCATGAATTGGGCCAAAACAGGCCACAGTGCAGGAGGAGCTGGGCTTGTCGAGGCTGCCTTGAGGTAGGCAGGCAGGAACCTGGCCCAGGGAATCTGGCGTGGGGTGAGAGCTGGGCCTGGAGAGTCCCCTGGGGGGCAATTGCGGGGCCCGCAGAGGCTGTTCTCCAGACAGAGCAGGGCCTGTGCAGGGAACCAGGAGGCAAAAGGTGGGCCTACAGAGCTCTGGCTATAGAAAGGTTTGGGACTTGGGCGGGAGTTGGGCCTGTCCATGCAGCCAGGAGGAAGGGGAAGGGCTGGTCCTGAAGAGGCTGCCACAAGGCAGGCTGACAATGGGCCTCTACAGACCGACGAGAGGCAGGACTGGGGCCTGGAGAGGCCAAATTCAGGACAATGTGGGGGTCTGCAGAGGCCAATGGAATGCCCAAGCTGGGCCTAGGGAATCCGCCTGGTGGAAGTTTGGGGGCCTGGAGACTCCGTCGGAGGGCAGGAGCTGAGCCTCCTGGAGAGGCCACCGTGAAGCCTGAGCTGGGCCTGGAGAGCTTGGCTTGAGGAAGTTTTGGGCCTACAAAGGCCACCTGGAGCTGGGCGGGATCTGAGTCCAAAGAGGTTGCTGTGAGGCAGGAATTGGGCCTGTAGACACACAGCAGGGAGGGAGAGCTAGTCCTGTACAGGATGCCGGGAGGCTGCAGCCGGATCTGGAGAGGCAGACTTGAGGAGCTTCTGATCCTGAAGAGGCTGCCAAAACAGAACAAACTGGGCCCAGAAAGGCCATTGTGAGGGGTAAGCTGGGCCTGAGGAGGCCATCATGTGGCAGGAGCGGGGCCTGAAGAAGCTGCTGGAAGGCAGGAGCTTTGGACTGGGGAGGCCGTAGTGAGGCTGTGGCCTGGGTGTGGGAGAGTCCACTGTGAGGTAGAGGCTGGGCCTGTATACGGGCCTTCAGGAGACAGGAGGCTGGACCCGGAGAGGCCAACTAAAATTCAACTTCTGGGCCTGAAGAGGCCACCAAAAGTCAAAAGCGGGGCCTGGGAAGGCTGCCGAGAGGAACGAGCTGGGCTGGGCCTAAAGAGGACATCGGGAGGGAGGAGGAGCTGGGCCTGGAGAAGCTGACAGAAATTGTGCACCTGGAGAGGCCGCCGAGAGGAGAGAGCTGGGCCGGGGGAGGCCGACTTGAGGGCCACTTGGGCCTGCAGATTCTGCCGGGGGGAAGAGCTGGGCCCGGAGAGGCCGACTTTAAGACGTGCAGGGCCTGTAGAAGATGCAAAGCAGGAAATGCTAGGCCGGGAATGGCCCCCATCGAGGCATGAGCTTGGCCCACGGAGGCCACTGGGAGGCAGGAGCTTGGCCGGCAGAAGCCGCTGAAGGGCAGGAGCTTGGCCTGAGGGCAACGTGGCGAGGCAACAGGCGGGCCCGGAGAGGGCCCACTGCGAGGTAGAGGTTGGGCCTGGAGAGGCCGCCCACAGGCAGGGGCTGGGCCTGGAGAGGCCATGAGAAACATTAGCTTGGCCCCAACGGGCCGGCGTGAGGGAGGACCTCGGCCCACAGAGGACAGTGGGAGGCAGGAGCACATACTTCTGGGAGGGCCGCGAGAGGCATGAGTTGGGTCGACACAGGCCACAGTGCGGGAGGAGCTGGGCCTATCGAGGCTGCCGGGAGGCAGGCAGGCAGGATCCTGGCCCTGGGAAACTACCATGAAGCTAGGCCAACGGGAGGCAGGAGCTGGCCCTGGAGGGGCCCTATTAAGGCCCTGTGTTGCGACTGGAGAGGCCGTGGGGAGGCCAGAGCTGGGCCTTGAGAGGCTGACTTCAGGACAATGGGGGGGCCTGCAGAGGCTGCCGGGAGGCCCAAGTGGGCCTAGAGGAGCCGTCTGGAGGAAGTTTGGGGGCCTAGAGACTCCGTCGGAGGGCATGAGCTGAGCCTCCTGGAGAGGCCACCGTGAAGCCTGAGCTGGGCCTGGAGAGCTTGTCTTGAGGAAGTTTTGGGTCTACAAAGGACGCCAGGAGCTGGGCGGGATCTGAGTCCAAAGAGGTTACTGTGAGGCAGGAGTTGGGCTTGTAGAGGCAGCTGGGAGGAAGAGCTGGGCCTGGAGAGGATGCCGGGAGGCTGCAGCCGGGTCTAGAGAGGCCGAATTGAGGAGGTTCTGGGCCTGGAGAGGCCTACGAAAGTGGACATACTGGGCCCAGAAAGGACGTAGTGTGGGGTGAGCTGGGCCTGAGGAGGCCATCCGGAGACAGGAGTGGGGCATGTCGAATCGGCCGGAAGGCAGGAGCTTCGGACTATAGAGTCCGCAGTGAGGCTGCGGCCTGGGTTTGGGAGAGTCCAATGTGAGGCAGAGGCTGGGCCTGTTTTCAGGCCTTCGGGAGGCAGGAGGCTGGGCCCAGAGAGGCCGATTTGAAGTCAAGTTCTGGGCCTCAAGAGGCTGCCAAAATAAAAACTAGGGCCTGAGAAGGGCGCCGTGAGGCACGAGCTGGCCTGGGGCTAAAGTGGCCATCGGGAGGCAGGAGAAGCTTGGACTGGAGAGGCTGACGGGAGGAAGTTGTGCACCTGGAGAGGCCACTGAGAGGCGAGAGCTGGGCTGGGGGAGGCTGACTTGGAGACGACTTAGGCCTGCAGAGTCTGCCGGAGGCAGGAGCTGGCACTGGAGAGGCCGACTTGAGGGCAACTTGGGCCTGCAGAGGCCGCCGGGAGGAAGAACCGGGCCCAGAGAGGCCGGCTGGAGGAAATTCAGGGCCTGGAGAGGATGGAAAGCAGCAAATGCTAGGCCTGGAAAGGCTGCCATCGAGGCATGAACTTGGCCTGCCTACAGAGCTCTGGCTGGAGAAAGGTTTGGGCCTATGAAGCCAGGTGGGAGCTGGGCAGAAGCTTAGTGCACAGAGGTTGCTTGTTGCAAGGCAGGAGTCGGGCCTATTGACGCAACCAAGAGGAAGGGGAAGGGCTGGGCCTGGAGAGGCTGCCACGAAGGAGGCCAAGAATGGGCCTCTACAGGCCAACGGAAGGCATTGGCTGGCCCTGGAGGGGCCCACTTGGGGCCCCATGATGTGCCTGGAGAGGCAGCCAGGAGTCCGGAGCTGGGACTGGAGAGGCTGACTTCAGGACGATGTGGGGGCCTGCAAAGGCTGCCGGGAGGCCCCAGCTGGGCCTAGAGGAGTCGCCTGGAGGAAGTTTAGGGGCCTTGAGACTCCAGCAGAGGTCACGAGCTGAGCCTCCTGGAGAGGCCGCCATGAGGTCTGAGCTGGGCCTGGAGAGCTTGGGTGAGGAAGTTTTGGGCCTACAAAGGCCGCTTGTAGCTGGGCGGGAGCTCAGTCCAAAGAGGTTCCTGTGAGGCAGGAGTTGGGCCTGTAGAGGCAACCAGAAGGAAGAGCTGGGCCTGGAGAGGACGCCAGGAGGCTGCAGCCAGGTCTGGAGAGGCCGACTTGAGGAGCTTCTGGGCCTGGAGAGGCCGCCAAAGGGGACAACCTGGGCCCAAAAGGCTCTTGTGAGTGGTGAGCTGGGCCTGAGGAGGCCATTGGGAGGCAGGAGTGGGGCCTATCGAAGCTGCCAGAAGGCAGGAGCTTTGGACTGGGGTGGCCGCGGTGAGGCTGCAGCCTGGGTGTGGGAGAGTCCGCTGTGAGGCAGAGGCTGGGCCTGTATACGGGCCGTCGGGATGCAGGAGGCTGGACCCGTAGACACAGACTGGAGGTCAAGTTCTGGGCCTGGGGAGGCCGGCAAAAGTCAGAAGCGGGGCCTGGGAAGGCTGTCGAGAGGCACGAGCTGGGCTGGGCCTAAAGAGGCCATTGGGAGGCCTGAGGAACTGGGCCTGGAGAGGCTGACCAGAGGAAGTTGTGCGCCTTTAGAGGCCACCAAGAGGCGAGAGCTGGGCCGGGGTGAGGCCAACTTGAGGGCAACTTGGGCCTGCAGAGGCCGCCGGGAGGAAGAGCCGGGCCTGGAGAGGCCAACTGGAGGAAGTGCAGGGCCTGGAGAGGATGAAAGGCAAGAAACGCTAGGCCTGGAAAGACCACCGTCATGGCATGAACTTGGCCTTCTGAGGCCACTGGGAGGCAGGAGCTCAGCCTGCAGAGGCTGCGGAAGGGCCAGAGCTTGTCCCGAGGGGGCCACGGCGAGGCAAGGGGCGGGCCCGCAGAGGGCCCCCTGTGAGTAGAGGCTGTGCCTGGAGAGGCCACCCTCAGGCAGGGGCTAGGCCTTTGGAGGCCATGAGAGGCAGGAGCTGGGCCCCAAAGGGCCAGTGTGAGGGAGAACCTCGGCCTAGAGAGGCCAGTGTGAGGCAGGAGCTCAAACCTCTGGGCGGGCTGTGAGAGACATGAGTTGTGCCGAAACAGGCCATGATGTGGGAGGCGTTCGGCCTTTCAAGGCTGCCTGGAGGTGGGCAGGCAGGAGCCTGGCCCTGGGAAGCTGTCGTGAGGTGAGAGCCGGACATGGAGTCCCCTGGGAGGCAAGCACGGGCCTGCAGAGGCTGTTCTCCAGCCGGAGCTGTTTTTGTGCAGGCCACTGGGAGCAGAAGGTGTGCCTACAGAGTGCTGGCTGGAGAAAGGTTTGGGCTTGCAAAGGCTGGCGAGAGCTGGGCAGGAACTGAGCCCACAAAGGTTGCTTTTTGCTAGGTGGGATTCAGGCCTGTCCATGCAGCCAGGAGGAAGTGTAAGGGCTGGGCCTGGAGAGGCTGCCACGAGGGACTCTGAGAATGGGCCTCTACAGGCTGACGGGAGGCAGGAGCTGGCCCTGGAGGGCCCACTTGAGGCCCTGTGTTGCATCTGGAGAGGCCGCCGGGAGGCCAGAGTTGGGCCTGGAGAGGCCGCAGGAGGTCGGAGCTGGGCTTGGAGAGGGAGACTTCAGGATGATGTGGGGGCTTGCAGAGGCCACTGGGAGGCCCAAGCTGGGCCAAGAGGAGCCACCTGGAGGAATGTTGGGGGCCTGGAGACTCTGTCAGAGGGCAGGGGCTTAGCCTCCTGGAGAGGCCACCGTGAGGTCTTAGCTGGGCCTGGAGAGCTTGGCTTGAGGAAGTTTTGGGCCTACAAAGGTGGCCAGGACCTGGGCGGGAGCTGAGTCCAAAGAAGTTGCTGTGAGGCAGGAGTTGGGCCTGTAGACACAGCCGGGATGAAGAGCTGGGCCTGGAGTGGACACCTGGAGGCTGCAGCAGGGTCTGGAGAGGACAACTTGAGGAGTTTCTGGGCCTGGAGAGGCCACGAAAAGGGGACAAACTGAGCCCAGAACGGCCACTGTGAGGGGTGAGCTGGGCCTGAGGAGGCCATCGGGAAGCAGGAGAGGGGCCTGTCGAAACTACTGGAAGGCTGGAGCTTTGGACTGGGGAGGCCACAGTGAGGCTTCAGCCTGGGCATGGGAGAGTCCACTGTGAGGCAGAAGCTGGGCCTTCAGGAGGCAGGAGGCTGCGCCCTGAGAGACTGATGGGAGGACATTGTGCACCTGAAGAGGCAGCTGAGAGGAGAGAGCTGGGCCGGGGGTGGCCGAGTTGAGGATGATTTGGGTCTGCAGAGGACACTGGGAGGCAGGAGCTGGCCCTGGAGAGGCCAATTTGAGGGCAACTTGGGCCTGCAGATGCCACCGGGAGGAAGACCCGGGCCCGGAGAGGCCGACTGGAGAATGTGCGGGGCCAGGAGAGGATGCAAACCTGGAAACGCTAGGCCTGGAAAGGATGCCATCAAGTCATGAGCTTGGCCTATGGAGGCCATTGGGAGGCAGGAGCTGGGCCTGCAGATGCCGCTGAAGGGTAGGAGCTTGGCCCGATAGGCCCAACACAAGGCAAGAGGCGGATTCGGAGAGGGCCCACTGTGAGGTAGAGGCTGGACCTGGAGAGGCCGCCCACAGGCAGGGGCTTGGCCTGGAGAGGCCAAGAGAGGCATGAGCTGGGCCCCAATGGGCCGGCATGAGGGAGGACATCAGCCTAGAGAGGCCAGTGTGAGGCAGGAGCTCACACCTTTGGGTGGGCCGCAAGAGACATGAGTTGGGCCAAAACAGGCCACAGTGCAGTAGGAAATGGGCCTGGAGAACTTGGCTTGAGGACGTTTTGGGCCTACAAATGCTGCCAGTTGTGCGGTAGCTGAGTCCAAAGAGGTTACTGTGAGGCAGGAGTTAGGCCTGTACAGGCAGCTGAGAGGAAGAGCTGGGCCTGGAGAGGATGCCGGAAAGCTGCAGCCGGGTCTAGAGATTCCGACTTGAGGAGCTCGTGGGCCAGGGGAGGATGCCAAAAGGGGACAAAGTGGGCCAGGAAAGGCCGTTGTGAGGAGTGAGCTGGGTCTGAGGAGGCCATTGGGAGGCAGGAGTGGGGCATGTCGAAGCTGCCGGAAGGCAGGAGCTTCGGACTGGTGAGGCTGCAGTGAAGCTGCAGACTGGACATGGGCGAGTCCTCTGTGAGGCAGAGGCTGGGCCTGTATATGGGCCTTCGGGATTCAGGAGGCTGGGCCCGGAGAGGACGACTGGAGGTCAAGTTCTGGGTCTGAAGAGGCTGCCAAAAGTCAAAAGTGGGGCCTGGGAAGGGGCCGAGAGGCCTGAGCTGGGCTGGGCCTAAAGAGGCCATCAGGAGGCAGGCAGAGCTGGGCCTGGAGAGGCTGACGGGAGGAAGATGTGCACTTGGAGAGGCCGCCGAGAGGCAAGAGCTGGGAAGGGTGAGGCCGACTTGAGTATGACTTGGGCCTGCAGAGGAATTGGGGAGGCAGGAGCTGGCGCTGGAGAAGCCGACTTGAGGGCAACCTGGGCCTGCAGAGGCTGCTGGGAGGAAGAGCCGGGCCTGGAGAGCCCAACTGGAGGAAATGCTGGGCCTGGAGAGGATGCAAAGCAGGAATCGCTAGGCCTGGAAAGGCCGCCGTCGAGGCATGAGCTTGGCCTATGAGGCCACTGGGAGGCAGGAGCTGGGCCTGCAGAGCCTGCTGAAGGGCAGAAGCTTGGCCGGAGGGGGCCATGGTGAGGCAAGAGGCAGGCCCGGAGAGGGCCCATTGTGAGGTAGAGGCTGGGAATGGAGAGGCCGCCCACAGGCAGGGCCTGGGCCTTGAGAGTCCATGAAAGGCATGAGCTGGGCCCCAGCGGGCCAGCGTGAGGGAGGACATCGGCCCAGAGAGGCCAGTGTGAGGCAGGACCTCACACCTCTGGGCAGGCTGCGAGAGGCATGACATGGGCCGAAACAGGACATGGTGCAGGAGGAGATGGACATGATAAGGCTGCCGGGAGACAGGTAGGCAGGAACCTGGCCCCGGGAAGCAGCTGTGGGGCAAGAGCTGGGCCTGGAGAGGCCCCTGGGAGGCAAGCGCGGGGCCCGCAGAGGCTGTTCTCCAGCCGGAGCTGGATCTGTGCAGGCCACCGGGAGGCAGAAGGTGGGCCTACAGAGCACTGGCGGGGGAAAGGTTTGAGCCTACAAAGGCTGGCGGGAGCTGGGAAGGAGCTGAGCCCACAGTGGTTGCTTGTTGCGAGGCAGGAGTCGGGCCTATCAATGCAGCCAGGAGGAAAGGGAAGGGCTGGGCCTGGAGAGGCTGCCACGAGGGAGGCAGAGAATGGGCCTCTACAGGACGATGGGAGGCAGCAGCTGGCCCTGGAGGGGCCCACATGACTCCCCGTGTTGCACCGGGAGAGGCCACCAGGTGGCCGGAGCTTTGCCTGGGGAGGCCTTCAGGACGATGTGGGGGCCTGCAGAGGGCACTTGGCCTGAGGGGAGATGGCAAGGCAAGAGGCAGGCCTGGAGAGGGCCCACTGCAAGGTAGAGGCTGGCCCTGGAGAGGCCACTCACAGGCAGGGGCTGGGCCTGGAGTGGCCACGAGAGGTATGAGCTGGGCCCCAAAGGGCCGGCATGATGGAGGACCTCGGCTGAGAGAGGCTAGTGTGAGGCAGGAGCTCACACCTCTGGGCGGGCCGCTAGAGGCATGAGTTGGGCCGAAATAGGCCATGGTGCGGGAGGAGCTGGGCCTGTCGAGGCTGCCGGGAGGTAGGCAGGCAGGAATCTTGCCCTGGGAAGTCACCGGGAGGTGAGAGCCGGGCCTGGAGAGGGCTCTGGGAGGCAAGCGCGGGGCCCTCAGAGGCTGTTCTCCTGCCAGAGCTGGGTCTGTGTAGGCCACCGGGAGGCAGACAGTGGGCCTACAGAGCTCTGGCTGGAGTAAGGTTTGGGCCTACAATGGCTGGCATGAGCTGAGAAGGATCTGAGCCCACAGACATTGCTTTTTGTGAAGTGAGGGTAGGGTCTGTCGACACAGCCAGGAGGAGGGATAAGCCTGGAGCGGCCACCACGAGGGAGGCAGAGGCTGGGCCTCTACAGGCTGATGGGAGGGAGGAGCTGGCCTTGGAAGGCCCAATTGAGGCCCCGTGTTGTGCCTGGAGAGTCAGCTGGGGTGCTGGAGCTGGGCCTGGAGAGGCCGACTTCAGGACGATGTGGGGGCCTGCAGAGGCTGCTGGAAGGCTCCAGCTGGTGCTAGAGGAGCCGCCTGGTGGAAATTTGGGGGCCTGGACACTCCGTCGGAGGCCTGGAGCTGAGCCTCTTGGAGAGGCCACCGTGAGGCCTGAGCTGGGCCTGGAGAGCTTGTCTTGAGGAAGTTTTTAGCCTACAAAGGCTGCCAGGAGCTGGGTGGGAGCTGAGTCCAAAGAGGTTACTGTGAGGCAGGAGTTGGACTTGTAGACACAGCCAGGAGGAAGAGCTGGGCCTGGAGAGGACACTGGGAGGCTGCAGCTGGGTCTGGAGAGGCCGACATGAGGAGGTTCTGGGCCTGGAGAGGCCTACGAAAGCAGACAAACTAGGCCCGGAAAGGACGTAGTGTGGGGTGAGCTGGGCCTGAGGAGGCCATCGGGAGGCAGGAGTGGGGCATGTCAAAGCTGCTGGAAGACAGGAGCTTTGGACTAGGGAGGCCGCAGTGAGGCTGCAGCCTGGGCATGGGAGAGTCCACTGTGAGGCAGAGGCTGGGCCTGTTTTTGTGCCTTTGGGAGGCAGGAGGCTGGGCCCAGAAATGCTGATTTGAAGTCAAGTTCTGGGCCTGAACAGGTTGCCAAAACGTAAGCGGGGCCTGGAAGGCCGCCGCGAGGCATAAGCTGGGCTGGGCCTAAAGAGGCCATCGGGAGGCAGGAGAAGCCAGGACTAGAGAGGCTGACAGGAGGTAGTTGTTCACCTGGAAAGGCTGCAGAGTGGCAAGAGCTGGGCCGTGTGTGGCCGACTTGAGGATGACTTGGGCCTGCAGAGGCCACTGGGAGGCAGGAGCTGACACCGGAAAGGCCGACTTCAGTGCAACTTTGGAGTGCAGAGGCAGCCAGGAGGAAGAGCCAAGCCCGGAGAGGCCAATTGGAGGAAATGCAGGGCCTGGAGAGGATGCAAAGCAGCAAACGCTAGGCCTGGAAAGGCTGCCATCGTGGCATGAACTTGGCCTACGGAGGCCACTGTGAGGCAGGATCTGGGCCTGCAGAGGCTGCCAAAGGGCAGGAGCATGGCCTGAGGGGGCCACAGGGAGGCAAGAGGTGGTCCCGGGGAAGGCCCACTGTGAGGTAGAGGCCCGGCCCAGAGGGGCTGCCCACAGGCAGGGGTTGGGCCTGGAGAGGCCACGAGAGGCATGAACTGGGCCCCAGTGGGCCGGTGTGAGGGAGGACCTTGGCCTATAGAGGCCAGTGTTAGGTAGGAGCTCACACCTCTGGGCGGGTCCCAAGAGGCATGAGTTGGGCCGAAACAGGCCACGCTGCAGGAGGAACTGGGCCTCTTGGGGCTGCTGGAAGGCAGGCAGGCAGGTACATGGCCCCAGGAAACCACTGTGAGGTGAGAGCCGGGCCTAGAGAGGCCCAAGGGAGGCAAGCACAGGGCCCTCAGATGCTGTTCTCCAGTCAGAGCTGGGTCTGTGCAGGCCACTGTGAGACAGAAGGTGGGCCTACAGAGCTCTGGCTGGAGTAAGGTTTGGGCCTACAAACACTGCCGGTTGCTGGGCAGGAGCTGAGCCCACAGGGGTTGCTTGTTGCAAGGCAGTAGTCAGGCCTGTCAAAGCAGCCAGGAGGAAGGGGAAAGGCTTGGCCTGGAGAGGCTGCCACGAGGGAGGCAGGGTCTGGGCCTCTACAGGCAGAGGGAAGGCAGGAGCTGGCCCTGTAGGGGGCCACTTGAAGCCCCGTACTGCACCTGGAGAGGCTGCTGGGAGGCTGGAACTGGGCCTGGAGAGGCCGACTTCAGGACGATGTAGGGGGCCTGCAGATGCCACCAGGAGGCCCAGCCTGGCTTAGAGGAGCCGCCTGGATGAAGTTTTGAGGCCTGAAGACTCCGTCAGAGGGCAGGAGCTGAGCCTCCTTGAGAGGCCACCATGAGGCCTGAGCTGGGCCTGGAGAGCTTGGCTTGAGGAAGTTTTGGGCCTACAAAGGCTGCCAGGAGGTGTGCAGGAGCTGAGTCCAAACAGGTTGCTGTGAGGCAGGAGCTGGGCCTGTATACACAGTCAGGATGAAGTGCTGGGCCTGGACAGGCCAACAAAAGGGGACAACCTAGGCCTGTAAAGGCCGCTGGGAGGGGTGAGCTGAGCCTTAGGAGGCCATTGGGAGGCATGAGCGGGGCCTGTTGAAGCTGCCGGAAGGCAGGAACCTCACACTGGGGAGGCTGCAGTGAGGCTGAAGCCTGGGCATCCGAGAGTCCACTGTGTGGCAGAGGCTGGGCCTGTAAAATGGCCTTATGGAGGCAGGGGGCTGGACCCGGAGAGACCGACTGGAGGTCATGCTCTGGGCCTGAAGAGGCCGCCAAAAGTCAAAAGAGGGGCCTGGGAAGGCCGCTGAGAGGTACGAGCTGGGCTGGGCCTAAAGAGGCCATTGGGAGGCAGGAGAAGCTCGGCCTGCAGAGGCTGATGGTAGGAAGTCGTGCACCTGGAGAGGCTGCTGAGAGGCGAGAGCTAGGCAGGGGGAGGCCAACTTGAGGGCAACCTGGGCCTGCAGAAGTCGCCAGGAGGAAGAGCCGGGCCCGGAGAGGCCAACTTGAGGGCAACTTGGACCTGCAGAGGCCGCCAGGAGGAAGAGTCGGTCCTGGAGAGGCCAACTGGAGGAAGTGCAGGGCCTGGAGATGATGCAAACCAGGAAATTCGAGGCCTGGAAAGGCCACCATCGAGGCATGAGCTTGGCCTATGGAGGCCACTGGGAGGCAGGAGCTGGGCCTACAGAGGCCGCCAAAGGGCAGGAGCTTGGCTTGCGTGGGCCATGGCGAGGCAAGAGGTGGGCCCAGAGAGGTCCCACTGTGAGGTAGAAGCTGGGCTTGGAGAGGCCACTCACAGGCAGGGGCTGGCCCTAGAGAGGCCACGAGAGGCATGAGCTGGGCCCCAATGGGCCGGCGTGAGGGAGAAACTCGGCCGAGAGAGGCCAGAGTGAGGCAGGAGCTGACACCTCTGGGCGGGCCGCGAGAGGCATGAGTTGGGCCGAAACAGGCCACGGTGTGGGAGAAGCTGGGCATGTCGAGGCTGCTGGGAGGCAGGCAGGCAGGAATCTGGCCCCGGGAAGCCACCATGGGGCGAGAGGTGGGCCTGGAGATGCCCCTGGGAGGTAAGTGCGGGGCCCGCAGAGGCTGTTCTCCAGACAGAGCTGCATCTGTGCAGGCCACTGGTAGGCAGAAGGTGGGCCTACAGAGCTCTGGCTGGAGAATGGTTTGTGTCGACAAAGGCTGCCAGGAGGCAGGCAGGAGCTGAGCACACAGAGGTTGCTTGTTGTGAGGTGGGAGTCGGGCCTGTCGACACAGCCAGGAGGAAGGGGAAGGGCTGGGCCTGGAGAGGCCACCACGAGGGAGGCAGTTGCTGGGCCTCTACAGGCATACTAGAGACAGGAGCTGGCCCTGGAGGGGCCCACTTAAGGCCCCTTGTTGCACCTGGAGAGTCCACTGGAAGGCCGGAGCTGGGCCTGGAGAGGCCAACTTCAGGATGATGTGGGGTCCTACAGAGTCCACGAGGAGGCCCAAGCTGGGCCTAGAGGAGTCGCCTGGAGGAAGTTTGGGGGTCTGGAGACTCCATTGGAGGGTTGGAGCTGAGCTTCCTGGAGAGGCCACCGTGAGGTCTGAGCTGGGCCTGGAGAGCTTGGCTTGAGGAAGTTTTGGTCCTACAAAGGCTGCCAGGAGCTGGGCGGGAGCTGAGTCCAAAGAGGTTGCTGTGAGGCAGGAGTTGGGCCTATAGAAGCAACTGGGAAGAAAAGCTGGGCCTGGAGAGGCCGCCAAAAGGGGACGCAATGGGCCCAGAAAGGCCATTGTGAGTGGTGAGATGGGCCTGAGGAGGCCTTTGGAAGGCAGGAGAGGGGCCTGTTGAGGCTGCCAGAAGGCAGGAGCTTCGGACTGGGGAGGCTGCAATGAAGCTGCAGCCTGGGTGTTGGGGAGTCCGCTGTGAGGCAGAGGTTGGGCCTATATACGGGCCTTCGGGAGGCAGGAGGCTGGGCCTGGCGAGGCCGACTGGAGGTCAAGTCCTGGGCCTGAGGAGGCCGCCCAGAGGCGTGAGCGGGGCTGGGCCTCAAGAGGCCAGTGGCAGGCAGGAGGAGCTGAGCCTGGAGAGGCTGATGGGAGGAAGTTGTGCACCTGGAGAGGCTGCCGAGAAGCGAGAGCTGGGCGTGTGGAGGCCGACTTGAGGATGACTTGGGCCTGCAGAAGCCACCAGGAGGCAGGAGCTGGCCCCAGAGAAGCCGACTTCAGGGAAACATGGCCTAAGGAGGCCACTGTGAGGCAGGAGCTGGGCCTGCAGAGGGCACCGAAGGGCAGGAGCATGGCCTGAGGGGGCCACGGCGAGGCAAAAGGCGGGTCCGTAGAGGGCCCACTGTGAGGTAGAGGCTGCCCACAGGCAGGGGCTGGGCCTGGAGAGGCCACGAGAGTCATGTGCTGGGTCCCAATGGGCCAGAGTGAGGGAGGACCTTGGCCTAGAGAGGCCAGTGAGTGGCAGGAGCTCACACCTCTGGGCGGGCCACGAGAGGCCTGAGTTGGGCCAAAACAGGCCACAGTGCATGAGGAGCTGGGCCTGTTGGGGCTGCTGGTTGGCACGCAGGCAGGAACCTGGTCCCGGGAAGCCGCCATGAGGCGAGAGCTGGGTCTGGAGAGGCCCCTGGGAGGCAAGCGTGAGGCCCTCAGAGGCTGCTCTCCAGCCAGAGCTGGGTCTGTGCAGTCCACCAGGAGGCAGAAGGTGGGCCTACAGAGCTCTGGCTGGAGAAAGATTTGGGCCTACAAAGGCTGGCGGGAGCTGGGAAGGAGCTGAGCCCACAGAGGTTGCTTATTGTGAGGTGGGAGTCAGTCTTGTTGATGCAGCCTGGAGAAAGTGAAAGGGCTGGGCTACTCGGGAGTATATGCACAGCTATGGAGAAATAGGAAATATACGCAGACAAAAACTGGAAAGAAGCTTTCTGTGAAACTGCTTTGTGATAGTTATGTCTATTCATCTCACATAGATATAATTTTCACCATAGCCATCCATATACTCCCAAATGTCCCTTGTTAGCTTTTTCTCCAAAAGGGATTCCCCATTTCTCCTTGAGAAGAAAGGTGTAACTCTGTGAGCGGGATGCAAACGTCATGAAGCAGCTCCTTGGAAAGCTTCTCTACAGTTTCTATCTGAAGATATTTCCGTTTTCACCATAAGCCTCAAAGCACTCCTGAATATCCCTTCGCAGACTAAACAATATTAGTATTAGAATAATGCTCAATGAAAGGGAAGCTTAACTATGCGAGTGGAATTCACAAAAAACAGAGCTGTTTTACAGAAAATTTCCTTCTGGTTTTTATCTGAAGGTTTTTCAGCATATTCTAAAGAGTGTTCCCAAATGTCCTTCCTCAGGTTTCACTGAAACAGTGATTTCAAACGGCTCAATTCAAAGAATGATGTAACTTTATGAGATGAATAAACACATCACAAAACAGTTGCTCAGAAAGCTTCTCTCCAGTTTTCAACAGAAGACGTTTCTTTGCTCGCCACAGGCCACCGGTCGCCACTTAATATCCCTTTGCAGAATCCTCAAACACAGACTTTTCAAAGTGGGAAATGTAGAGTAAGCTTTAACTCTGTTAAATGAATGCACATATCAGAGAGTAGTTTTCTGGAACTCTTCTTTCTGGGTGTTATTTGAGGACATTTCACTTTTTACGATAGTCTACAAAGCACTCTGAAATATCACTTTTTCAGTTTTACACGAACAGTGTTCAAACACTACCTTATGAGGAAAGAGGCATAAGTCCCTGAGTGGAATGCACACATTACAAAGCAGTTTCTCAGAAAGCTTCTCTCCAGTTTTTATCTGAAGAGATTACGTATTTCACCATAATCCTGAATTGCCTCCCGAATGTCCCTTTGCGGATCCATCCATGACAGAGTTTCCATGCTGTGTTATGGAAATCAAGATTTATCATCATGAGATGAATAAACATAATAAAAAGCAGATTCACAGAAACCTTCTTTCCAGTTTTTATTTGAAGATATTTCCTATTTCACCATCATCCTGAATGTGCTCCCAAAACTCCTTTCGTGGATGCATCCATGACAGAGTTTCCAACCTGCATAATGTAAAGAAAGCTTTATCTATGTGAGATGAATACACATATCACAGAGCAGCTTCAGAGAAAGCTTCTTTCCAGTTTTTGTCCAAGATTATTTCCCTTTTCACCATAGGCATCAACATGCTCCTGAATATCACTTGATACCTTTTACTCCAAAAGGGTTTCCCCTATGCTGTATGAGAAGAGAGGTAAAACACTGTGAGTGGAATGCACATGTCACAAAACAGTTCCTCAGAAAGCTTCTCTCTAGTTTCTATCTGGACATATTTCCTTTTTCTCCGTAAGATTCAATGCGCTCCTGAATATGCCTTCACACGCTAAAAATAAACAGTTTTAGATAATTGCTCAATGAAAAGAGAAGTTTAACTGAGTGAGAGGAATTCACACGACACATAGTAGTTTCACAGAAAGTTTCTTACTTTTATTTATGTGATTATATTTCTTTCTCCAGATTCTAAAGAGCATTGCCAAACATCCTTCCTCAGATTCCACAAAAAGAGTGATATCATACTGCTCAATTCAAAGTATGATTTAACTCTTTGAGATGAATACACACATCACAAAACAGTTGCTCAGAAAGCTTCCCTCCAGTTTTCAATGGAAGACGTTTCCTTGCTCACCAAAGGCCTCTGGGCACCCTTATTATAACTTCACAGATTCTTCAAAGATATAGTTTCCAAATACGGCAACGTAGTGTAAACTTTATCTCTGTGAAATGAATGCACATATCAGAGAGCAGTTTCTTGGAATGCTTCCTCCTGGGTTTTATTTGAGGATATTTCACTTTTCGCCATAATCTTCAATGTGCTACGAAATATCCCTTTTTTGGTTTTACAAAAACAGTGTTCAAACACTGCCTTATGAGAAAAGAGGTATAACTCCCTGAGTGGAATATACACATCACAAAGAAGTTTCTCAGAAAGCTTCTCTCCAGTTTTTATCTGAAGATATTATCTATTTCACCATAGGCCTGAATGTGCTCCCAAATATCCGTTCGCAGATCAGTCCATGATGGCATTTCAAAACTGAGTAACAGAAAGTTTTATCTATGTGAGACGAATAAACGTATCTATCAAAAAGCAGTTTCACAGAAAGCTTCTTTCCAGTTTTTGTCTGAGAATATTTTTTCACCATAGCTCTCAATATACTCCCGAATGTCCCCTGGTAGCTTTTTCTCCAAATGGGATTCCCCAATCCTCTATGAGAACAAAAGTATAACTCTGTGTGTGGAATTCACTCATCACAAAGCAGCTACATGGAAATCTTCTCTCCAGTATCTATCTGAAGATATTTCCGCTTTCACCATAAGCCTCAAAACGTTCCAGAGTATCCCATAGCTAACAAAAGCAGTGTAACAACACTGCTTAATGAAAACAGAAGCTTAACTGTGCATGTGGAAATCACATGACCGAGAGCAGTTTTACAGAAAGCTCCCTTCTGTTTTTTATCGGAGGATATTTCTTTTTCAGCATATTCTTTTTTTTTTCTTTTTCTCTTTTTAATACAAATGATAGCTTACTATACACCATGTTTTGCACCATGTTTTAATTGATTTTTTTAAATTTATTTTTTATTATTATCATACTTTAAGTTGTAGGGTACATGTGCATAACGTGCAGGTTTGTTACATATGTATACTTGTGCCATGTTGGTGTGCTGCACCCATCAACTCGTCATTTACATCAGGTGGGTATACTGACCCAATTGCATTCCTCCCCCCCTCCCCTTCCCAATGGAACAGGCCCGGATGTGTGATGTTCCCGTTTCCCGGTCCAAGTGATCTCTCATTGTTTCAGTTCCCCGACCGTATGAGTGAGGACAATGCGGTGTTTGGCTTTTGCTCGTGCGATTAGCTTGGTGATAGTTTGGCTAAGATGATGGTTTCCAGCTGCATCCATGTCGCCTATTCAAAGGGACAGCAAACTCGATGCCTTTTTTATGGCCTGGCATAGTATCTCCATGGTAGTTATTGTGGCCCACATTTTTCCTTATGCGCAGGTCGTCACTGATGGAGCATTTGGGTTGAGTGCGCAAGTGCTTGTGCTATTCGTGAGATACGTGCCCCGCAATAAACATACGTGTCGCATGTGTCTTGTATAGGCAGCATTAATTTATGAATCACTTTGGGTATATTACGCCCGCCCCAGAGTAATTCGGGATCGGCTGGGTAATGATGACTGACATCTACTTCTAGAATCCTTGACGGGGAATCGCCGATACTGTTTTCCTATGCGTGACTAGTTTACCATCCCACCAGAAAACCAACAGTAGTAAAAGTGTTCGTCCTATTTCTCCCACATCCTCCATCCCGGGCACCGCTTGTTTTGTTTCTCTGGACTTTTTAATGATGCGCCATTCTAAAAAAAAAATCGGTGTGGAGATGGTGTAGATCGCCTC